TGGATGCACCTTTAATTGGCATTTTAATGCTGAAAGGCAGCGGGAAGCTACGAAGAGCAGAGATACAACAAAGGTGATTCAGTACTGAAGTTCCCCAGTGTGAATGACGAATAAATAATCTTGACATATTATCCAGCATAACCGTATGCTAGTATAAGTTGCCACATTTTTAGTTAGACAGGCACAATAAGATTTCGGTAACATGCTAAGAATCTAAAAAGTGTAAATAATGCTGTCGAACTTCACGAAAAATAATAGGATAAAGAGAAAGGAATTAAAGACCGTGGAGAATTGTGATTTAATGGCCTAAAGGGAAGGTAAAGTTTGGCTTTATCTATACAACTGAGACTGATTCTGAGCAGCGTCACCTGAAGTTTTCTGTAATCGATTTCATGTGTCCAGTTATTCCTGACTAGAAATTGATAATTCCCCACATAAATATAAGCAACTGTTAGAGTCTTCATGGAATGAAGCTATCTTTGAGCCTTTGTCAATTGTGCTTTTACCTAAACCTCATCAGCTAACTCGGATATTTTAGAGTCTTCACCTGACTTTTATGTTACTCCCATGTTGGTTTCACATTATACGGGCAGTGGTGAATTGGTCAATACCTAACTCCTTCTCATGCTCTCTATCTTTAAAATTCATACTTCTAAGCCGTGAATATGGACAGAGCAAAAATGTTTCCTTTATTAGGTATTCTGAGGTTAAGCCAGTTCTGAATTTGATATTAGCGGTGAAAGCTTATAGTGCCTTTATTATCCATCCTCGATGAACTTTGGTTATAAGCTCAGTACGGTGATCTGACCTTCCGTTGAGATGAGGTGATCATCGCGCTGAACTATCTTTCTCTCTCTCCCTCTCTAGTACGAAGGTAAAACAACGGTCGTGGGATGTTAATTTAAAGATGACTAACCTTGGTATTGTTTTCCTCAAAAGGTTTTCCTATGGATAAGAACGTGAATAAAATCTTTTTATCACTTAGAAATAACACAGGGAAGAAATATACAAGTTTCTGGGATGCATACCAAAATAAATCTCACCTGTTTCTACAATAACTGTTGTAAACAAATAGTAAAATCAAGAAACTCTTAAATACACACTTTTAATATAAAAAATGTAGTTATAATGCATAAAATTGTCGTCTAAATGTTTACTCATAGCCAATTTTCTCAAGCCCTTAGTAATCTCTAGGAGGAAGTAGTGCAGTCCATCTCACCTGAAATGCTATCACTAGGTTGAATTTACCATCGTTATGATGATATTATTGATGCTGTTGTTGTTGTTGATTAATAGTCCCTGAACAGAATTCTGCTAACACTAACCTAACCATATGTAGATCTATTCATCTGGATGTATCTATGCTGATGTGGGCATGCACATGCGCGTTTAACAGTCTATAATCTCTAACACCAGTCTGACTGATTAAAAAACCACGATAGACAGTAGAAGAAACACCGAAATCATTAGTTCAGACTTTTCTTATGCATATGCTGAACTGTAGGGGATAATAATAGTAATAATAACAGCTAAGAGGGCAGAGATTTATTATCATCGCATTCAGTGTTTTTTTGAAACAGCATCATTATGGCTATTTATTACCTGAATATTTTCACCCAGCCCAAATAAACAACAGTGTTTCATGTAAACCGTTGGAAAACACCTACCAAATTATAATTATTTCTAATAGCTTACATGTACAGACACAAAACTTGGAACAAGGTATCTTAATTTATTTTTCCACTGTACATCCGCAGTTAGCGCTCATTACATAGGAGCTTAAATCTCTGGCATATTTTAAGAAGGTAAATCACCTTAAATAATTGCGTTTTGCTAGATTATCTTATAAGGATAACTGTCTTTAGTTAACTACTTATATTTTACCACATCAAATTTTTACTGTAGACTACTGGTCGGTCATTTGAAAGCACGAGTTTGATGGCACACACCGTGTATTCTAAAGGATTTAGCTGGACGCATGGTGTTTTGACACCAGATAACCATTTGAAGTGATGCACGTTTAGCAGGAATTCTTTTCCAGCTAAATAAAACTAGAATAGTCAGAATCACCTCTTAATATAGTGTCTAAAACAGTTAAGTCAGTGGTTTCACGCTGGACAACCAACTCATTGTGGGCGTTTTACGGGATAGGTTGAAGCGACTTATTAGAGCCTAAACAGTCCTAAGGTTTATAATAAACAAAGTCTTTTATGCAACCCAGTATAGTATAAAAGACTAGTGATCATGTAAGTGGTACTGGAATAAAAGTTTCAATAGATGGAACTTATTTGACTTGATAAAGTAGTACTTATGCACAGAAGGGAATGAAAGAAGGCTAACGCGGTCACTGATGAACAACCAAGAATCAAGAATAAAGTTTTACTGATACAGGTGAGTATGACGACGAAAGTACTTTCAGTGTTGAGGTATGGGATCAAAAAAGGTGAAAAAATACCTTGAACACCTAATCTTCACCTTTGCAGGTGCACCTTAGAATGAGAATTCCCGTTTTCTCCTAACGTAAATTTATTCTTTCAGTGGGGTGATTTGAAATATGTAATGCAAAGCATAATTGCTAGCAGCCTTCACATTTTTATTGTCATGAATCAATGTGCGTAATAAGAGTCACTTAAAGTATGCAAGATAACTGGTGACCAACTCAAAGCCATCTGTAGACGTAATTACAAGTACATGTTCATTTTCTTCCTCAAATCAGAATTCGTCAAAACATTTTCCTAGAATTCTCACTGATGAACCAAAAATAATCCTCAGCAATACTTCAGGAACATATGAAAGACAGACAACAAATGACTTCCACTTTAAAGTTGCACTGTGAAATGATTTCACTTCAGGAAGATAATTTTTCCAAGTACTAAATTAATTAAATGAATTGGATTTCAGGCTCTAGCTAATTTGTACAGTTCATTCATTTTCGATGTTTAAGATAACCTGCAGTGTGTAATTGGAAGTTGTGTCTGCATCATATGAATAACTACGTGTAAAATAAATATGTCAAGCCATATATGACCCAAAAAGTATCATCACCCTACAAGAAATATTCTGTATTTTCTTCAGTTCCAACCTATGACGTCTTGTTCGCATAAACTTTATAAACATGATTATTTTAATTCTTTAATTAAATTTAATTATTTTAAATGTTCCTCAAATCGTCGTAAAATCGCCTGTTGCACATTACAAGCCTGTTCCCCAACTTGTGGTTGAGCATTCACTTCTCAAAGATTCAGCAGGGTAAATGTTAAAGTTTCATCGTGAATATTTCTAAGCACTCCCTCATGAGTTTGTTCCCTAACAAGTGTAATTACCATCCAATATTAAAATGACTTTGATATGAATAAAATCGGCTGACCCTTATGGATAGTTTGTAAATGTTCTTTGAGTTTATTGTTATACGTCACTAGTTCGTAAGGCTTGTACTGCAGGGACCACAATGTACTGTCTTGACCTGGTGAGTTACTGACGAGAATTCTTTTGATAGTACAGTTGGATAGTTGGAAAACTATCCTGTTCTTAGAAGTGTTAACATGAATAATGATAATAATAGTAGCTTTATTCCAAACAACATGAGCGATACACAATGGAATCCTTAGCATGTAATATTTCAACAAATGCACTCTCTTTACAGTATTTCTAAACGTAATAAATTGTTTTATCTCAGAGACGTCAAACAACTATCTGCTGTCAGATAAGCCTTTGTTCTACAGTGGGGAATGAATCGAAAATCGAGCGTGATTTTGATGGTTTTGGTTCATTCAGCCAGTACCAAAATCTCCAATTGGTAGTAAATACCCTAGGAGTAGTAATCTGATTTATTTTTGTTCATTTAGAAGTCTATTTCCATCCGGCCTAACGTTTTTTCTTTGTTTGGTTGTTAACTTTAAAAATGGCTGGTTGAAAAAATCTTAAAACTGTACAATAGTATTTGATACATTTCGAAGAAATGTTAAAAACATTAAACCAACTGAAAAGGGAACAGTTTGGTGAAGTATATTCAGTGGAAAATGTTTGGTAGGCCAAGTTTTAAGTAGGAGCGATTTCCTAATAACTTGCCAACTGATTGTCCACTTAAATTTTTTTTGTTTTTTAGTACAGTAAAAGTACTCGCGAAATGAGTTTATTCTGAAAGTATAGTTTATGAAGCATGGAAATTGTTTTGCGGCACAAGTTAATGTCCCCTCAAAGTTTTTAAAAAAATGTTGAACAACAAGAGTTAGGTGAAAAGGAATCTACGGTTAGTCAGCACATGCTAGACAGAATGACCGGTGGATCATCAGTTTTTACTACCTATATAAAAACCGGTATTTTAAAACGGTTTATTTGTTAGATAAGAATACAGCTGACACTTTTTACTTTCAACAATCAAAAGAAGTTCGAAAACTGAGAAATGTTTAGGAGAAGTCAAAAAAGATAGTGAATGGATAAATTGTACTCTTGAGATAAGATAAACACTAACTATGCGGTGTGAAAAATATGCGGTTGACAATGAACATGGTTAGTTAAGATTCTTTCTTTAATATTCTGTTATGCTCCCTTTGAAAACCTAATCAAATCCAGTATATGAATGCCCCTAAGATATTTCATAACTACGCGTCCAATTATTTTTAAAATTGTTGACAAATTCTTTTCCAACTATATTATTGCTTCAGCAATCTGATCGCTGCTTCATTCATGTTTCAGTTGGAAATTTTTGAGCGTCACGGTTTCTCTTTTGAAGTTCTTTGAACTGTGTGTAGCTGACCAGAATGCAGAACAGTATTACTGAGCTCATTGTTTTATTTTAGCAAATAGATGAACAGTTTATACTTTTTTAATTAAACAGTTATGCAAATAATTGTTAAACAGTTGAGTTATACATAATTTAGTTATGTTCTGTCTGCTTTATTTTTATAGAACTATTTTCTGTAAACATTTATGGAGCAACAACCTACTCCAGTTCAACTGCATCCGGTAGCCCATCTGAATATTCAGTGGATGAGGACTTTATGCATACCCAGCCGACATGCTTTCAAACTGATCCTGAACAACCGGATTTAAATGGTTATCACTGGCTTATAATTGACTTCGGTATTGTAATGCACCATGTAAAAGAAGTTAGATTGGCTCCAAATCCAAGTCATAAAAATTATGGTAAGTACAAAGAAGAAGAAAGAAATGCAAGTGTGCAAATTTCAAGTGATTCACATATATCACATAACAAAATTTTCATTTCATGTTTATTTGTTTAGGGTTTATAGAAATTATAAGTAAGCCTGTCTACCCATACGTCCAACTGCAGCAACCTAAGTTATTATTTACATTTTGGATGTATGCTTATACAGTATGTCCTTTAAATAGATGTGATATTTAGCCATGTTGTATTCTCTTTTGAATAGGGTTATCAAAATGTCATTTGCAAAACAAGATGATATCTATAATTATAACATATGGATTCGCTCAAAGCGCAAACAAACCTATAAATATTGTGATCAATGATTAGGGAAACTAATGAACGAACTTTAAATTAATGTTGTTTAATCAGTTCAGTGCTTCTGTTTTAAAGCATGGAATGATGTACAGAATAATCGTATAAAAATAAGGGATTTTCCACATTACAGCAAGTTAAAAACCATGCCATTTATGTAGTCGAGACTGGCAAATGTATGGGAGCAGTTAGGATAATATTAGAACTGTATGGAAACAAAATTCGGCTGGTTTAGCCACGTAATCATGTCAGTAGTAAAGACTATAACAACACCGGTGAAATCAACAGCAATAGTGGGATCAATAAACAAATGTTTGAGGGGTCAGTAATGGGATAAATATGTGAACAATGCTTCCCAAGTAGTATACAGAATAAAACTAGTTCTGATGTTTCTTATTCCAATGATTTTTTTGAGATGAGATGAGACTCAACTATTACCGTATAATATTTAGGTACTCTGAAACATAGACTGAAATCATGATAGACTGCAGTCTTTTTCTTCTCTCAGTGTACTTCTGCATGTACATATGAATTCGTAGTTACTGCAAACGCTAATAAGATTCTTAAAGTTCTGCGGTATAGACTGTATGATAAAGCATCTAGTTTGATGCCGTAACTTCAACTTAGGTACGGAATAAGCCCTAGTTATGATATTTCGAACTCTTCAATTAGCTATATCATTAATCTTTTCTATGAATATTCGCTATCCAGGAGACACTGTTCATTCAATCTTATATCATTGTGTAGTGCCTATTCATAGCAGAGTTTTCTTTGTTCGCTAACAAAGTTGCTCTTAAAGCACTTTGCAAAAAGACATACTAAAGTTTAAAAAAGTGATAACTCTAAGTTTTTGATAATGAATATTTCGTTCATCTGTAAAACATTTTTCAGATATCATGTACGTAAGCTTTGTGCTGAAACACTCAAAAACTTTTCTATCTGTTACAGTGTGTAACTGACTTTGAAAGGCGATACTGAGAAACCTTGAGTAAAATGTATCAGTCTTCAGTCTTAAAGCGATTTCTTTCAAGTGTGCTGTGGATATATTTACTGTTATGAACCTCAGTGGCCTGCTCATAGGTAAACCGTCAATTTGTCTGTGTAAGTCATTACCAAAACTCTACATGTTTAGTGAACTGAAGCAACGATGTCCGCTTAAATAAGTAGTATCTTTTCACATAAGTAAGAAGTAAAGCAAATTTGAATGAAGTTATCACGAATTCACCAGCACTTATTAACTAAATGTATTCACTATAATTTATTTGGCTGTAGTTAGCAGAGGAATGCATTTATAGATGTATTTATATTCTATAGGAGAGCCATGTACACATAAAAATGCTAACCCTTATTGCACAACACAACTTTTAATGGTCTTATCGTCTGGTTATTACGTTCGAAAAAAGATATTTTTGACAAAAACACCCTTTGGTAAATATATACTTCTTTTAACACTGATGATTCAATAAAAGCTCCTTCTTGCAACCTTATGATAATGCCAATTAAACTGGGAAGCATACTGCAAAGCCAAATACGTAAAGTTTTAAATTCTGATTTGTGAAAAAGTAGTTGAGCGGCGCGGTGTAGTATTTTTAGACACCTGCAAATGCAGTCAAGACTAATGAATATATATATCGATGGTTCTCTGATATTCTAATGACTTGCGTAATTGGAGGCAAAAAGTTCGAAGTAAATAATTAAATGAGAAATGCAGCCGAACAGTGCACATTCTGCCTTAGAATTCAATGCTTTATCTACACTTGCAAGACCTCCTGAATCAGTCATTCAATCTCCAGAAACCTAATGCGTAGATTTTGTAGAGTACCCATACAGACCAGGTGGAGTTCAGTGAATAACCGCGCTTACGTACCGTATGTGCGTCACGCAACCACAGCACCCATTCATAGCGTGAGACGCCAGAGTTTTGGCTAGTGAGGTTTGTTGGCCGATTCGACAGAGGGTGCGGATATTGACAGCTCCAATATTTAGTTTGAAGTGCAGTTTCAGAAAATCAGTGATGCTATTCCAAGAACGCAAATCGTTATCGAGGGATACATATCTGGAAGAAATTTATGATGACAAAGAAACATTGACCGAGAGACGTCAATGAAGATTAGAAGGCAAAAACGTTGTAGGCTGATGATGATTCTAAAAAAGATGAGTGGAAACGGAATTGTTAGAGCAGCTGACACATGGCAGCCACCTGCACTATGGAAAGTTACTTCTTCTTGAGGTATCTGAGAAGGAGACTGCAACTCAATAGCTTAGTCGATAAGACATTTTGAATGATGGGTTTTAGGCTCATGACTCAAATGGAGGAATACCACCTCACTGGGATGCCAGCACATCCAGCTGATGTGTTCTAAACAGAACGGTATATGTATCCTAGATTCGACGACTAACCATCGGCATTACCTTCAAGACTAAAATACTGACAGTACCGAGGTACTGGCCAACCAATCCGGTCCGGTCAACGAATCGACATTACAGATAGGGTGATTTTAAAGCTACTACTTTTTGTGATGGTGGTCGATATAATCAGAAAAATCTCCAACTCCATAAAATGTTTTCGAATAAGAAATGTACAGCTCATGTGAAGGTTTTTCCCATAGGAGAATGGTAGTGACTAAGACACCACTGAGAAGTTAATGTTATTCAGCAGTTGTTCAGCCGGATGAATTACTAGTCGGTATTAATCACCTTCTACCTCATAAACGACTGAATTCAGAATATGTATACTTCACTGCTAGCATGTTCCCACTTTATCACAAGGCTGCAATATAAAAGTCATCATTTTTCCAACTTCTTCAACTCTGAGTACAACTGACCAACATCCTATTACACGCTGGGTTATCTGTCCTTTCTTATATACATCAGTTGCCTGGAAAGTCAGAGATTTTAGGAGAATTCCAAGAAATTCCTTTAAAACAGGCACTTTATCACTTGTGAAGTTCTAGCTAAATCAAGATCCAGTTACGTTATTCAGATAAGTATCTTGTAAGGGAAACTCCTCTTAGTTTGCACTGTCGTTAGTTTGAAATAATACCAAGGTTATGAGGGCTTATTAAAACTGTTATTATTTTTGTTATTTGCAACACTGTAACTGTGTCTACAATAATTTTGATTATCACATTTATTGATAACTTGTAGTTAAATAAATCAGAGAAAAAATATCTATAATCAAGTATCAGAAATCAGTTTGATCTGAAGACTGCTCAAAAATCGACGAAATCACATGAATTGTCTTCGTCAGAATCTTAATGGGTGATTTTGGAGGATCTCAGATTCATTGTCGTCTTGAATTCCAGATACATATGTGTTTGCTGTTTTTGAGAATGCATGAAACTGATGCCTGACAAATCCAAGCGAGTGGCCTATGGAATAAAGCTGTAGTCAACCAAGCCGATGAAACCTATAACCATCTATCAATTCGCATTTATCGAGCGACTAAACACAAATACTGACAACTAAGTAACCTAGATTTACAGTATTCTGATGGGTAACTGTCTTATTGAATTAGTGATGTGAATGACAGTTGGAAACTCAGCGGAACATTTGGAGTTGTAAAATCCCAACTAAAGTAATATGTAGGTGGGAATTTCTAATATTTTCTAGTAGAAACCACTCCTTATTACACTAGAGTGGTTGGAAATATGGGTAGACAATCCCTAGTGATAATGAGTGGCTCATGCTGCACATCAAAATATACCTCACTGTGAAACACCAGGAACAGTGGATTATGTGGCAGTCTCTCATGCGGTAATAGGATGATAATGAATGTACAAAATTCTCAGTTTAACCGCCAACCAAAACATACATGAACTTATTTTGCATCCATTGTTAGGAATCCATGAGTAAATCTGACCTTTAGTGATTCGATTAAATTATGTTGAATTCATGATTTAAATGTTTCCAAAATTTCCTGATTCATTATAGGTTAATACTGTGACTGTGAAGTCTTCAGAAGCAGATATTTGTTGTAGTGTGTCTTGGATGATGTTTATCAATCTGTGATCAGGCAACATCATCATCACTAACTTCATTATGAAATGAGCTGTCAGTAAATCTCCATCAGTGAATCAGTGGCTTGTCCTGACGAACTGGTTTGTGATTGGTTGTTTCCTTCGATTACTGTGTCATTGACTCCATAGATTTTCTTATTTCCTGTTCATCTACTCAACCTCTCACCTTTCTGTTGTTTATCATTCTTCTTATTCACTGATACATTGGGTCTATGTTTATACAGATTTGATTTGATTACTGACTGACCTGCATGACTAGCTTCTAGGACTTCTCCGATATTCCTTGTGTTTCCTCTCTCAGAGATTTCTACACTGTCAAAATTGAATTCATGTCCACAATTATCAATGTGCATTGAAATGGACGATGAAATGTCGTCATGTTTAAATGGCCAACTGGTGTTCATGTGAATGGAGGTGAAGAGGACGACCACCTTGTCCAATTTACTATTGACTACAGTTATTGTAGTGGATTTTGTAAATGATACCTGGTTCGTCTTCTTTGCCCCTTTTGGTCTGCAATTTATGGTTTGAAGGGAATTTGTTGGTTGATGAGCCACACCAATTCCAAGTGGTCTCACTAATCTCATCGTGATCTCTGATATAGTCTTTGTGTACTGTAAGATGATCCGTCTGTTGATTTGTGTGGATGACTTTGTAGTTGACGATGCACGCGATAGGCATTTTCCGATAAAGTTTTGTGAGTATCCGTTCTCCTTTAGGATAGACATCAAGTAGTTTTCTTCGTTTCTCTTTGAGGTTGTTGTACTGTAGTGTGTTCTCGCACTTTGGAATAGTGTCTGAACGCAACTAAGTGTGTGCGTTGTTGATTTGTTGCTACTGTAGTTGGAGATTTGATCAATGTGTGTTGACTTCCTGCATACCTGAGTTTCCAAGTTTTCCAGCATTTGTTCTGCTGATTTAAACATCCAGGAATGGTATTTGGTTGTTTTATTCCTTCTTCTTTGTGAATTTGATGTCATTGAAAATGTTGTTGATAGAATTGTAAGTGTTTTCTGAATCATCGTTTCTAAGGATGATAAAAGTATCTTCTATATAATGTTTCCAAACTTTTAGCTAAATCACATGTAAAATGATGGTTTCTAGTCTCAGTGTTACTGTTTCTGCAATTAATCCCGATATCAGTGACCCACCTGGAGTTGCTTTTATTTCTTTGTATATCTTCCGTTGAACTGGAATTATGTTTTCAGATAAAGGTCGATGAGTTCCATTAGAGTAAGCATTCATGTTTCGTGCTTTCTGAAAGGCTTATGTCTTCACTGAGCTGGAGCGACATAGTTTCCTTGACCAACTGTTGTTCGATGGATGTATATAGTGCTGTGACTTCGATGAATGCCACTAATTCGTCGTTTTCTCTATTAATTCTTTTGGTATTTCCTAAGAATTCTGTTGGTGATCTGATGGAATATCCGTATGATTAGACAAGGTATTTTGGTTTTTGCGAAAGTTACCGGAAGTGAGACTACTGTCTGGTTTATGTAGTTCTGGTCTTCCGTAAAACAGAGGAAGGACTGATCCATTCGATTTTATTCGCTACTCGTCTTGCTTTTTTATTTCTTCTGCTTCGAAGAGCTCTCTCACGGTTTCGGTTGGCTTCAAGTGGTTGACACATACATACACACACAATTGTCACTTATTCAGATGACAGTTAAACATGTCTCACAGCTTGGTTTGTAGAGTTAATAACCGAGAGAAGGAGCCTACCATTTTCTAGATTTACTTACATTACATCACATTTACTTAAGTTATTCCGTTACATGTTCATCGGTAAATTATATGTCTTACGTATTCTAATCTGATTTTGAAATTCAACAGAAATATGCTCCATGTTTCAACAAACTTTTAAAACCCGTAGATTTCATGGCACAAATACGCAAAAGAGAGAAACCGATAAGAAAATGACTCTTCAGAATACAAAACACTTTTTTTCAGGTAAAAAATTGTACGGAATTAATCAATAACTGGATTCATCCACTTTGCAACGCAACTGTATTGTACAATGAAGTCATCTGATCAATCTCGAGTGACTTCGAAATATTATCAGTCACATATCCTTGGGATTAAATAGTTAATCTACATTTTGATGCCCTTCCATTGAAGGAGACTGTACCTTGTTGCTACTGTTGTATTCTGGTGATCAGTTCAATAACTGATGGATCACATTACGCATGATAAAGTAAGTGGTGTAAAACTTAGGGGACAAACTATCATCATTGCAGTAAGCCTTGCAAGAATCTCCTAACTTCAGCGATGCTGGTGAATAAAATTTGACGGGTTTATATCAATAAAAAAGTTGTGAGTCAATCGGGCAAATATTGTAAAATAGTGTATGCTATTCACTTGTGCATATACACATACAAGTACCGAAATTAGGAGGGTTAAAATGATAGTTGTCACCCATGAAATTGATGAACTACAAATTCCATGGACATGCCATACTGGTACAACTCTATAATGAAAAATAAAAGGACGATCCCCTACTTGATTTTATTCTGGGTCACACTAAAATAACAAGCATCTTGAATAACTGTCAGGTTACAGCAATGATGAATCTGAGCTCATTCAAGATTTCTGAATAGTTTGGATGACAATCTGAGCAGGTTATAGGAATATTCTAGTCATAGTTATAAACTTATCCGGATGAGCAAGAAAATGAAAGCCAACAAGTAACCCGTACTCGTTAATAATGGCATAAATTTTCTAAAATTTATGTCGAAGATTTATTTTTACCATAAGATAGTTACATTCCTTTATTAAGCAGCTTCATATTCTCATGCTCATTGATAACATTACAATGAGCAACAAAATTATTCAATTTTAAGGTTTGTTGGGGATCTATTGATTGATTTTTGGTTAGTATTTATCATTTAACTGATAGAAATCAGAAATACGGACCATTGGATTCCAACTCAGTGGCTCAGTAGTAACGTGCTAGCCACAGAACCCGAAGGTCCTGAGTTCTATCTCTGGTGGGGTCATGGTTGTGCACTGCTGAGGAGTCACATACTGAAACAAAACAGCTGTCCAGTGCTCCAAGGTTTCAAATGTTTCTCCAACTGATATCAGTTCATGATGGATACCAACCTGAAATTACTTTTATGTCTATCTTTTTCTAAAATTTTCTAGATTCCATGTTATGCAAAACTTATGTTAAGTTGTTATTCATCGTAAACTGACATCAGTTGGAGGAACAAAGGAGACCCGGGAGCACTGGAAGGCTGTTTCGTCCTAGTACGGGACCCCACAGCAGTGCGCACCCACGACCCCACCAGCAGGGATAGAACCCGCGACCTTTAGGTTCCGCTGCCAGCGCGTTACCATTGAGCCACTGGGTCAGAATCCAATGCTCCATATTTCCAACTTCTGTTAGCTCACGATGTCAGTCAGCTCTGATGTCAGTCTACGATGAATAACAACTTGAAATAATTCCAAATCTCCACAACTCCCTCAAATTTAAATTTATGTTAGCAATTTTGTTAACGGTTTCAAAGAATGAAATACAGGACTAGTTGAATGAATTGATGCCTTAAATACAAGACAGTAAAACCTAGAGATTTCTTCATGGCTTACATTATGGCTGTGAGTCATTTTTGTTGTCTGAAGGCTAACAATAATATCTAATTACTTTAATACGGGATATTTATAACAGATTTTTAACCAACAGTCTACTTTTTAATGGCAAACACCTAACATCCGATCTGTATTCTCACAGTTGACCGCATGAATGACGACACAATGCAGTGCAAACTAGGAGTGTCGCATAAGGGGTTTCAAAAGTTATTTCCTGTTGGCATATAGTCTTGCATCACATGTGTTTTATAGTTATTGGCACTCATTAGTAGGGAATATTGGGGAAGTAGTTTTCTCTTCGTCATCCGAATCTACCTCTATCAGCCTTGAAGTTATTCACCTTACAACTGACAATTAGATGGTGATGTTTTGTGTAAAAAATTGACTAACAGACAGGTCAGCATTCAGCCCACTAGAACGTATGTGGCTATATCAGCTACAATTTCGTGACAGATACGTGTATTTTACAAGTGTTAAAACAGAAGTGAATGATTTTAAAGTAGTGATACAACCCCTGAAAAGCTTTTAGAAAGCCTAATCAGAACTATTTATTGAACGTATTTCAAAATCTATTATTCTTAAGAACTGAACCAGTTACACAGATCTGTCATGATTAGAAATCAGGTTTGATGCTACTTAAAAATTACTTCCTTCAGAGGAGAATGATTCAAGCGAAAAGCAACCACAACTGTGAAATGATTCACCTATTACTGCTGTCGAAAATTGAGTACATTTTTCTTTGTGATGAATAAATGTGTGAAAAACACCAAGGAAAATAAAGACCTCCAGTTATCTGTTTTCAGAAATAAGCTTGAGAAAGGTAAACGATTCTCAGCAATCGAATAGCGTTGGACTACATATAATACTGGGAATAATAACACAGACTTAGTAATTGTCCCACAACTTTATTACTTTCCTTTCTCTTACCCGTAATCTGTATAATAAAAAACTAAAGTGACGACTAAACATATTTGCACGCATTACGGTGAATCAGTACATTAGAATGGACTGTTTTATCGCATGAAAAACGGTTACTTATGGCTTACTTATCGAACTTACAAAATCCGAACTTGAATGCATAAAAACAACACCCATCTTTGGATCGGTATCAGCTTACATCATCATACATCATACTGCATCCGCGCTGCCTCTATTCCAAGTTGTTGTGGAGTGGAAATTGCATTACCTTACAGATTTAAATAGTAGATCTGGTACTTTCTTCAACAGCAAATCTAAAGCTTTGCACTGGAAGTCTACAGTCAATGGTATTACTGCAGGCTAGTATAACACAATTCATGATGAGTACCAATATTGAGAAACCATGATAATGTTTACCAAGAAAGCCTCAATGTAACCAGTCCTTACTTGTTGTGTTCTAAATGAAAATATTCGCAAAGTGTAATAATTTTCGGTCTTATTACTGAAGACAGAATTCTATTGAAAGCAACATTATAATTTTTCACGAAGCTTCATACAATGAGTAAAATGTTTATCTGTTTCTTCTTTATTTTCTTAAAAGCTACAAAGCTCTCGAATATTGATGTATTTCTAATAAAAAATGGAGAATCTTTGGAAACAGATGAAATGCTAACATCACTCAGAAGGTCAAGACAAGGGTCAGTGAGGCAAATTAACTGGAATTCGACAGGCATTCATTTCTGTCATTCAACAGGGACTATTTCTGCAGGTACTAGAGCGGCTAGTATAGAATGCCCAGAAGCGATGCATGGAAGATGGCTAGCCTTGAGAAGACTAGATGGGGAATTAAACATTTGTCTAATCAACGTTTATGTAAAGAAAGGTAATTTAATTTACTCAGATTCTACGTTATTTTCCACTCAATCAGTGTCCCTGACCATTTAATCAGCATATTTACCTTTTTGCAAAATATTTAACGGCAAAAGATCGTTTGATCTTGTTATTAAGCTAGGTAACAAGCTCATTTGAAGAAGAATGCAAAGATGGTTGATAAACTTAACGTCAGGAGGTTCATCTTACAAGACTATGTCGTCTGTGTACTTCGATCCAAGCAGGCACTCTCCTGGGAGTTATGCAGAACCTGGGAATTAGGAAGCATCTAATATTATCGAAGAGATATCATCCTGAACCTTCGCCAGGCGATCGTTATCACTTCTCGAGCTTACCGATATGCCCTACATACTACTGATTTCCAACCCCATAAGTAGTGTTCACCCCAAATCCATTGGCATATCTATGAAAAACTTCAATAAAAATGGAGATAGTGGACAACTGTAGAGGTTACCGCTATGTCATATGATAACCCTAGATAATCACTTATAGGGCTTTTTGAGTTAAAGTAGAAAGCCTTCATTATTATGGTTTGCTTGGACTGTATTTCTTTCACAGTGGACACTGCTAAATTATCTCTCGATTAATGAGTCAAGTGCTGCCTTCAGATCAATAAATATGCCATTTTTCAGATGGTGTTTAGTATGTCTGTCTTTCAGAACCTGTCAAAGGGTGAATATTAATCACTACACCCTCATCTAAATCTGATATCTGCCTGGTTTTCTTGAGCTCCAGTTCAGTGTCGAATAACCGTGAGCTCTAAGATATCAGATACAGTGCTACTCAAAATGGTTCACAAATGAATTTTACAGGAAGACTCCTGGAGGAAAACGTGATCTAGACCAGTCTTATGGGGCTATCTCAGCTTCGTTTGCTGACTATTACCCACTTTACTCCACTCAGTAATATCCAACTGTATTCCTTTAAAAAGTATGGAGAAAAATTATCAAGTCCTATTGTTTTCTATTTTTCGAAATTTAAATAGCTTTCTCAACTTTGAGGAACATCTAAGGACCGACACCTAAGTTTCCTTCAGATTAAGACTCCAAAATGAGCCACCAAAGCATAACTTCAGGTTAGTTGGAATATTACTCAATGTGTTCCACCAGAGGTTCCAGACCCTTGCTCTCAGCTGCTACAAGTGACTTGTCATTCCTGGCAGAATCATTCCCAACCAACATATTTTACATGGTAGTCTCTCCAGTATCCCTAAATAGCTTTCAAACGTCCTATAGAGTAGATGCCTTCTTTACCTGTTTCACTTTTCCTACCTACCACTGGTCGTTGATATTACGAAAACTCCTACCCAGCCTACCTTTGGGCTGATTTTGCACTTAATCGTGATCGGAGTGAGCTGAAATGATTCCTAGCACATCAATCGTTTGGACTGAGGCTATGTAGATGTGCCTACTTTGTGAACCCTCTCTTACGGGCTACTGACTGTTTTTACAGCTATTTCCACCGTCAGCTAAATGCTACGCCAGGTTTCATTATGACGATGGTCATTTCAGTGTTCAGATAAACTGATGTTGATGTATGCATAGATACTCCAAGAATAGAACCAATTCTTCACAGGTCTTCTTCAACGATGGCTTACAGAAGTATGATTTGTTTATATTCGTCTTTGATTTGAAGTTCGCGAACCACGGTCGACAAAATATCTCTTTTTATATTTGAAGTTAGTGCTGACCACGAACAAGTAACTGTCTGAAAAACCCAGTACAGTACTGGTTTGTTGGTATTGCAGTTTATCAACAGTCCCAAGTGACAGATATCTAGTAAAAATTTGAGCTCTGTACGTTAGGACTTGATCCTCTAGCTATACCAGTAGGCTCATGGACACTAACCATTAAATCTCTCATTGTGAATTTTGCAAGTTTGCTTCATTTGCAAGATAACATGAAGTGAATAGTTCCGATCCGTTTCCACACATATGTTTCAGGAAAACAGCAAGTATGTCGAAGATTCAATAATTTAGAGTTTTGACCAGCTTTATATTTAGTTATAGTATAGGGTTGTGAAGTTGAGATCTTCACAGTGAAAATAGAAGTGAAGTTATAGCAGATCTAAAACAGCGTTCCACTGACTTGAAACGCTAATAATTGTCTCAAAGTAAGAAGTTGAAGAAACTAAAAAGGTGTAGTTTCGGAAATAGGAAAACAGTACAGTTTAATTAGGGGATAAAACTAAGACGGGATGCCGCAGTCAAATAGACTTCTTGTGCCATCTGAAGTGTATAGTGGTTAATCGTTCTTGGTTACCTACATCGTGGAAGTTAACGTCATCATACAGTACCTGAAAGAGGAAGTGGATTAGTTTTGAGTAGTCAAATACTTGGAGATACATCCGTTTGAGGCATCATTTGCAACCTTTCTCGTGATCCGCAATCGAGATAAGGAAATAAGAAAAGATCGACTTTTTTTTACAAGATTTATTGGCAGATGGAATGCAAATACTCGATTATTGTCACATATGCACTATACTTAACTAATGATAAAAAATGAAGTGAAAACGTCATATTTTAAAACACATTTAGATTAACAAGTATAGCACTTTTAATCATCGTCTAAATTACATGAAATAATTTCTGTATTTTGGAATCATAGAAGCTTTAAGCGAAATGATTTTTCAGGTGGGTAAAATGTTTCACGAAACGTACACAAAACAGATAAAATGTATTTTTTTTCCTATAGTCTGTTATTATGGATAGTACTGCAAACGAAAATCTAAAGACTGCAAGTGATCCTTCTGATAATATCTCAGTCCAGTATCTACATAGACCAATTATCAGAATTTCTACGCTAACAATTGTCAATTGGTGGAAGATACTAAGAAATTTCACTGGATATATTTAGAAGCCAGCAGTAATTTTTCATTGATTGTTGTGCATGAAAACTTTCTACTACACTCTACTTCTTCATATTTCAGCTTTTGAAGAGTGCTTTATTTATTATTCACTGAAAGAACAACAAATCTGGCCCAGTCTAACAGGTCAACCATTTAGTTTTATACGCCACCTGTCTAAGTCAGCCTGTCGTGCTGGATGTTCCTCCAACCGAAACTGTCAAGCAATACGTTACAGGAAAGCAAGACGTACTGGAGTCTGTGAACAGATACGTGATGTTGTACTTTCAGAAGATCTCACCAACAATACAATAGATGGGAGTGATCAGTTTCAACAGGATTCTTTGTTACGCTGTGATTCTGAAGACTGCAGTATTGCTTTAAACAAATGTCAATTAGGTGAGTCTATTAATTGTCAAGATTATAATAATACGCTTAGAAGTCGCAATACTCGGTGAAAAATATTCAGCTATCGCCAGTGGTCCTCAATAAATTTTATTGTTGTTTGCCTGACTAACTAAATCCTAATAGGAATGAGATTCCGAGCTTTCCATTTCAAGTTTGCATTTTAGGCGAGATAAGTATTTAATCTAAATGTATTGGTTTCCTGGAAATAACCGTAGATTATCGCAGGCTACCCTATTTTATTCACCTGATTTTGGGTCGATAAACTCTCGGATGTCCAGTCAAATGTTGTCTCCACTTTGTTTTTCCGTGAAATTCAGTAATTTCTGCTTTCGAAACAAAACTACTTAAGACTTAATTCCACATTTATTCTTCTACTTGATGTTGAATATTCTTGATTTCATTTTTTATCATGTGTACAAATACTGTTTAATTTTTGGAGGGTTACCAAAATGTTAAGGTTCTTAACCAAACAATTTACACTGAGTCTTTGTCTGAATATTTGTCCCATAAGTAACGTTTTTCTTGTTTACAAACAACCATGCACTAACATGCTAAAGTCTCTCGCATACACTACTTTTCTTGCCAGGTGAAATATCTAGTAAACTCATAAAATTTTGCTCTTCTTAACATATCGTCAAATGAATTACTGTGTCTTGATTTAAGGATTCATGATTGGAGAGTATAATACATCTAAACAGTGGTCATATTTCAAAGTTGATTATTCACGGACTTTGATCAGCGCTGGATACTAGGGACTAGACAACCATACTGGCTGCCCATTAGTGACCATTTCCTTCACATCTACACAAAGCTAGCGTACTGGCCAAACACTGTTGCATTCAGCAGAAGAATATTATGTCATTTTTTCTACTCTAACCCTGGAACAACACAATTTATTTCCGTCTTTAGAAAAATTCTTTCCCTAGGTAATTATATTCGCTTCAACAACTTCTACATAGTTTGTTTTTCTAAATTGCCCTCTGTATTATGCAACATTTTCTCACCCTCTTGCATAAGTTATTTTTGCCACCCTGCTGACAACGATGACTGACTGAAAGTTCGTTTTGAAACATTTTATCTTTCTGCTATCACATATTCGTCGATGCACAGATATAAAAATAATTTCGTAGGAGTAGAGATAAGTAAGACTATCATCTAGAGTCCACCATGCACAATAAGGAAAACCAGAAGCCTTGCAGGAGATGGTAGGAAGTCAAGCGAATTTTAAAAATAACTGTGTCAACAATTATGATGAAAGAAGCAGCAACTCATCGACTTAACCATGTAGAATAGAACCTTGACTGCATTTCTTAACAGGTTTGATCAGTCAGAGTTTGGGAACGTAAGCGATATCATGAAGGTGCAATTAGTAGGAATGGTGCTCGCCCCAGTGTCGTTACCTGTATATCTCTACTTAATTACACTACTCCTAACTTTTACTTTCACCTTAAGCACTTTTCGCTTCAAGTGGTGTAACATTCTCTCAATAAATGTTTGAAACTGATAGTGTTTACTGAGACAGCCTTAAAAACATCTGTTACATGCAACCATAGTAAGTCAATAATCGTAAGTGCACACCATTCCTCAATAATTTTAAAATAAGTGGCTATGAAGAAAAATATTTACAAAGTTAATCAGTGATCCCTTGCTGCGTACTGGATTGGGTAACAGGCAAGGAATGACCGATACAGGAAGTACATAGACCACTTTCAAGCTTCCACTGATTGCTGCTTGATGTTTAATCACTCTCTGGCTAACATCAGTTCATTGTGGTAGCTGTCCTCAAACTGCTCAGTTTATCAAAACCAATTCAGTTGAGTTTACTTTTCTCTGGTACATCGAAATTGTATCAGCACACAACATCTGATAATCATAAATTCTTTCAGATAAGTATAAACCAGTGGAATCCCGATTTACCAAGTTTTCTTAAAGTACAATATTTTGCACTAAAATTCATCTGTTTGAGTAACCTTCTGTGTAGTGCAAACCACAATGGTACAAATCCTTCTAATTTTATGAAGTATTTTGTGCATTTCATTTGAATAACAATAAGTTTCCCTATATTTAAGGTGATATTTGTCATAAACTTAAATTAGGACCAGTGCTTTCAGCTTTTCGAAAGTTTTCCACATGATTTCAGTCCTTGATGAATACTAACTTGAAATCAATCAGACAATCCCCACAAACCTCCACATCGAACAGACGTCCAGTACTCACTGGCGATAAGTTTCTAGATAGATTTCGCGAGGTTCTAAAGAGAAGACGGGATAGTGGGGCAAACCAGGTCGGACATGAGGATAAATATCCAACGACGGTACTAGATGATTATCGTGCTACATCGTGAACTGATGGAAGTAGTAAAATGTTGACTTTCGGATAATGACTCGGTGGGTAAATGGAAATGTGCCTTTCATGAGAACTGTCCATAAAAGGTTTTTCCGCTTCTGAGGAGTCCCAAAGTGGGACAAAACAGCTTTCTAAACCTCCTAGGTTTTCAGTGGGTCTTTAATCAGTCTAATTCCATGAAGAACAATACCTTGAAATTAGTCAATTCCTACATAATTTCATACTGAATTATTCATATTTTCTTATAATTTTGACCAGTGAATTAGCGATTTTCTGTTTCTTTTTAATAATCAGGTAAATTATATGAAATGCACAGAGTGGTAGCTCCTCAAGGGAGTGATGTATCAGAATCTGATGGTAGTTACAATGATAATCAAAGTGGAAATAAATTTTCAGTATGGGAAGTTAAATCTGACCAGCAAACAGCTGTGTCCAGTATACTGAGCCCCATAGAATCTGGACAACTGCTGTCCATTCAAATGGACGGTTACTTATACTGTAGCGAAGCGATTTGCGGTATGTGTTAATTGAATATAGATCCTAACAGGATTTTATTATATATTTATTAATTTTCACGTAAGACATTACCTGTTTACATAATCCACATATACTTTATGCGACTCTAACCAAAGTTTTCAACAGAACATTTGATATCACGTTTTGTGAATATAAAACCACGTTCACTACGATGAATAAACATCAGATTTAAAAACTTTCAACTTCCCAAGTCTTTCTGCAAATTGAAGAAAAAGTTGGAATAAATTGTCATTGAGAAAACTAGTTGGAAGCAGAAATCAAGATGTTGTAGAAGTTATTATGAGGAAGAGTGTTTATCCGAAAAAAGTGTGTCCTCATATTCGATTATTTGATACAACGCGCAGTGATACAGTATCACTGACTAGATGGCGTTTTAATCGAGATTTATTGCGTGTAATTATATTGAGGTAATCAAACAACTTACTAGCTTAATGTAAGCAGTTCTATTACTTATTCTGCGCACTAGCAATCATTAGTGCTCAAAACTCGATCTCTTGAGTAGCGATATTTCACTATGTGCTACATAAAATTAACCTAATCTGATATAAAACTACACCCTGTCGTGGTGCTCAAGTTGTACTGTTACACTGAGATATGACTCTGTCTAGTTATGGAAAAGATTATATACGATACTTGTTATTCATAGTGATCTTTAAAATGTTTACCGTCTTCATGAACACATTCCATTTAGTTACAAGTAATAAGGAGATAGTAATGGAGTACGGTTAAACTACAAGGACTGACTTTGGTTTCTCTTCTTTTCCCATGAAATGAACTGACATAATATCGTCTCTTCGTATGTGAACGAAATACTACAACAGTCAGACGTAAAGTGCTATGGTGAATCTTTCTAAAAACGTCTGATCAAAATCAGCGAGAAGACGATTTTATGAGAGCAATCACTTGATCGAAATTATTGAATACTGACTTGGTTGACGCCTAGCAGCTTTCCAACCAGTGCATGGTTGGGATCATTTGACGAGATTTCTTTTGAACACGATTTGCAGCTTAATGCCGTTTGTTTCTTCCTTGAATTATTTTGTTTTAGTCTAACTAAACGTAGTTAAATGAAATGCTTTTTCTAACTGCTGAAGAATTTAAATTCTAAACAAGGTTATAACAGACGTGTTCAGAATTTATATTCCGTCATCAGAAAACTGTACAACAAACACCCTGAACGAATGTTAAGGCCAATAACTAGCGGCTGTTTCTGAATATAATAAGAACAGCTGATAACTGCATGTTTCCAATCAAATTACATCTGCCTTTGTGTGGATCACTTCATGTGACATCAATACTTCTTGAGATGTCCAAATATTTTGGGTTGATTTGAGGAATTTATTTGTGTAGGTAGTATTCACGGAAATGTTACATTCTTGCAAACCAGTAAGTATTAGTAGTGCTAAATGGTTGTCAGTAATGGAAGCCAGGAAGCAGCACCGGTCATATTCGTATCTCGTTAACTGTATATGTTTTTTCTTAGAAAGTTGCTATCGCTGTCACTAAGACTCGGACAATACACTCAGAGCTTCAAACGTTGTAGCGTTACTCACCAGCATATTGAGTTTCAATGGGAATACGTCGTATAACAGGCATGGTAAAAAATCATTGCGTAGTTTGCAATTTCTCATTGTTCTCATTGTATACCAAAGTGGTCAGTCACTGTTCACACCTGGTTACCTTGTGCACATCTTTCAAGATTACTGCTGACCCCAATTTCGAAGCAGTGGTTAGTTGTTTTGTAAACTGTAGCTGACTATCAAGTAGTTATTCCGAAAAAGTATTGTTGGTAAGTTATAGACTTCAAAAAATCGACCGAGAGCAGAATGTGAATAAAAGTGGAGATGAGCAAGAAAAGGAAGGTGAACTCCTGAAATTTGAGTTGACAGAGGTAAACATCCGTCAAATCATGATACTGCACACATCCCGTGCTGTGACAGTTACAACGGCTCGGATGCTACAGGTTTTGTTTAAAGTGTTAGGTGGGTATTATCGTTTCAATTAGTGAGAAATTGTAATTAAAAATTCCAATTTAACAAACTTGTAAGTGTAGTGCAACATCTGTGGTTGCTGACGAAACATAGTAAAATAAGAAACATTCGGGTTGCACATAAAACAACCCAGTCTGAATACGGGATAATAGATGACTGTACTTGATGTACGGCTGTGATAAAACGTGCTAGTAAGTCAACAATCAGTTCAAAAGTTATTTATTTATTTATTTATTTATTTACTTACTTACTTACTTACTTACTTACTGAACTCGATATTAACTATGAAACCGCTGAAATCTAAAGAGTGCTAGACAACTATTTTCCCCGATTAAAGAATAATCACAAGAGTCAGTTCGTGAACAAATATCATAATTAAACCCCAAACTACCACCCAGCCGACAGCTGCTACCTTAATAATGTGATCTTGCTTGCTTGTTACAATGAGTTGACGACCTATATTGACCGCAAAAGTTGTTCTCTGCTGTCTTGCTATGCCAGGAAGTTATGTTATATAGCAGTAAGTTACCATCATAGTTTAAATAGCTTAAGATATGCTGGGGAGCTGAGGACAAATTCATTCCGTTGACTGATTGGAGTTTGACAGCAATAACGTGTTTTCTAAGGATGATCAACAGTTTATGCTGATGCTGCTCTCGCTGTCAGGAAGAAATGTTACGAAAGGTTGGCCTCAAGAAGATAACACTTCTCCCGCCCCACAGTTTCAGAATGCACTACCGTCATGTAAAAATAATCCTTTTTCTCTTCGAATAATCTTACGGAAACGACTTCAAAGGTGTGAACAACGAAAGAGTAACAACCATCCCCATGCTTCCGGTAGCATACAAAAAACCATTCAAGCAAGTCCAATGGCAAACAGCTAACATCACTTCGTGTTGTCAAGTGCTTTAAATAAATAACTTGGTCTTTCCCATTAGAATAAAAACCGCACAACAGCAGTTCTTGGAATTTCAACTACTTAACTCACTATATGAAAGGCATTCCAAGTAAAATCAAATCAAATTTTACACAGTACTGAAAAATACAGGAATTTCATCCAAACTTTAGAAGTCTTTTTCACCTGTGAGGAAAGGAAACAGTTTTAGAACTGGTAGTAATAAGTGAAAATTCGTTTACTGTTCTAGTTAACTGATGCACAACTAATAATAATAAATGGAATTCCAACTTTTTACGTTTATAATAATATGTTAATTAAAATGGCAACTCGTTAGTTGCAGAATACAGTCTGAGAATCTCTTGTACTGTTAGCAGAGAGATTACTGTGGCGTTGATTAGATGATAACTGTTGCAATAGTCTAAGTACGCTTGAGTTACTGTTCAAATGTCAACATTTATGGGTTAATTTAAAAAAAACTTCATTGTGCTATGCAGCTTTTTGTACATTACTAGATATTATAGTGATTAGCTTACCTTTGGCATAGTCCCTCTGATTAATGCTATTTCGATTACTTAATCTGTCTGAAGATAAAATTCCTCTATTCAGCAGAAATGTTAGCAGAGAAAATTAGTTAACACGGTATGCGTACAATCCATTTACCCACTTGTATGCGCATTGATATTTTACGCAAAAATGGCGAAAGAGAATAACGAATAATACAAAAATATTCTTCTTTATAATATCCTATTCAGTAGAACAAAACTGTTCTCCTTTCGATAATGTGAAAACACTAAACTCCCATATTTTAGAAGTGTGTAGAGAGTGACATAAATATTTCCACTGTCTGATTAAAATCTAATCGAATCACAAGTTCTTTTAGTTTCCATCTACATCATCACATATCTTCTCATTACTTTCTTTTGTTCAATAAATTGTTACACTTGTTATTGTCTAGTATGTATTCGTTATCTGTTTTACTGGTCAGATTGAATTTCATGTTACTTAAAGTTAGTTAGTAGTCACTAGTAATTAAAGTGAAATAATCCTCGACACATGATCAACATTGTCTCTGAAGAATATTGAACGAATATCGAATGAAATTTCGTTAGCTGTATATAACTCCTTTCACCTAGTGAAACTCATGCCTAGGCAACTGAAAGAAATGTGTATTCTCCATATTTAAATCTCAGTTCGTTCACAGCAGTCTTGCCACCTTACTCAGATAGTAATGCTGAGCATATATTTTAAGGATGTCAAGTAGAAATTTTTTATTTCCAACTTTCAAAAATGGCCTACATGAAACCACTGAAGGTTAACTCCATCAGCTGCAGAGTACTGAAAAATCCACATTTAAGATACGGGATAGTGATCACGATATACAAGGAATTTGAAAATACCGACCACGAAATTTCATCCTCTTGGGTTAATACTGAAGCTCTTGAATACCAAATACTATATAATTCACTCTCCCAACTTTTGAAGTTCCCCACGGATTTAAACATTTAGTCAGGTGTATTTCATTCTCTTAAGTCCTTTTCTTTTCGGGTCGTCTACTGGATATACCTTTATTCTACATATAAATGCTCCTTCTAGAATTCTGATTCCCTTCCTATCGCTTGAAGGCTAATGCTTAACCTACCAGAATGGTGACTTAGGAGATTGACCTCTTTTTCAGTTTGACTTGGTTTGACTTGTTATTCGGATTTTTTGGTTTTCCATTTTTCAAGAGAATCAATCATAAGTGACCTGTATACCACACGCAAAGTGAAATACTCATACCCTATCGTAGCTTAATAAAACAACGTATTTCGTTTTTCTCTCTTATAGACTAAAATAACCTGTGCCATCCATATTTTTGGATTAAAGTACAAGTCAGAACTGTTTGTATCTGTCCGGAATTCTTTTTTCACTTTGGAAGAGAACTTCAGTCTTTCTAAACAGTTACACGGTCTTTAAAGAGAAAATCTGTAAAGTTGGTTTAGTATGGATCCGCATGATTGTCATTCTGATCTTAAATATCTTAAACACAGGTAAATAGGAAACCTTACACCTTTTAAAAAGGTAACTGTAAGTTTGTCCAAATACAGAAGAACTCGCAGGCTACATACTAATCACAGTTGTACCAGAAAATCATGCAAATGCTTCTGTTTTTCGCGAAAACGTCAACCATTATTTCCTTGCTATCACTTGACAAACTAAGTTTTATGGGACAAACACATGACTTATAATTCCATCAATGTAAGTATAGATCTTGAGCACCATGGTTGGCTTTAATTCCGTATTAATTTACTTTATTTAGGCATATCACACACTGAAATATTATTATCCATTAGGTGAAGCTACTAGCAGAATTTGCCACCTGCAATGACCTTGATTTGATTATGAGTAAGAAATAGATTGTCATCCAGTAAATAATACTGCATATGTATGTGATATACTCAGTAAATTTATTCAACATGCAGCTATAAGCTATCACATCGCTCACATCCGAACAAACCTATATTTCTCCTAACACTTAGATAAATTTAATCCGAATTTTTTATAAAAATAAAATTTATAACTATTTATCAAAAAACTTTGAGTTTAATCGTTGAATACAAGGTAAGCCTCAGTAAATTCAAGAGATTCTGTTAAAAGACCTACCCTGCCTCAACACCCGACGTAGCGCAATAAGACATTAGGCCAATTATTCTTTTCTTGACCACAACAATGTTCATGTAAGAATGGATTAAGTAGAGTCAGCGAGTTCATAAATGCATATTTTTAGTGCACTAGTCTTAAAAGTTAAAAGTGAAATGAAAACCTTTTCTTTCTCCTCCCCACTTTTTGTTTCTAAACCACAGATACACTTAAAGTCTATTCAGTGGATGAGAACAAAGAAGCCTCTTTTTGTGGTGAAATTGACTCACTCGTCGTATCCCATTTGAGCAAGTATTATTTATTCTGTGAAAATAATTATCCAATAGACAAACTGAAGTCGATTCGTTTAGAATGGAATAATAGGGGAAGAGAAAATACTGGTTATCTACTTGTGAACATAACACAAATGTTTATAAGAATTACACAGAATGCAAAGTTATTCAGCCTTAATTTAAAACATAACAATAACCAAGCAACAACTCATCCAACTACAACAATTACAAGTGAAATAGATTTCATCACAGAACAGCAATGGAGTGCACCTCAAGTAAAAGAGGGGAAGATGAAGAGAAACAGTCAGATGGGGTGCAACAGCACAGCGATCAGCTAGATGAACAGAAAGAAGAACGAAAAGACGAAAATGAGGCACTACAACAAACACAGCATATTCAACAAGAAGCGGAACTGCTTCAACAGTATTATCAACAGGAAACTGAAGAACAGTTAGTTCAGCACCACGACCAGTATTCAGTTGAAGGGGAGCACCAGAAAAAAGAATTGACAGAAACCAGTGCTGCTGACAATGATGTGGTGGGAACAACTAGCCATTTGAGTTGGTTTGATCCAAATACAGAATCTAGTATAGATGAAGAAGACGATTTTGAGACGTCAAACTCTGATTTTGATGATGAGAAAAACGAAAAACCAATAACACGTAAGATAATTTTATTATTTTTTGAGACCGTTTATGGTATAAACTGACACCAGATGATACAACTAATAGGAACTGTAGCCTACCAAGGGGCTGTTTCACCCTAGTTTAGCTTTCTTCAGTAGAGCACTTGCTAAAACCTGCTCTTTGATCAAACTAATTGTTTGCAGGTATTTTGGTGGGCATAGTTGTTACAATGTTGGGATCTGTGGTCTGAAATGTTTTATATTTCCACGGTAATATATTCTATGGGAACCAAAACAGTGTGCTATAGTTACTCACTTTTTCAAGACTCTTATAGTTGCTCTGAGTAATGAGGTTTTCCAATCAAAGCGACATTCATTTTTATATCAGTCTGAAAATGTTGCTTATTTATTTACTATCGAATAGACATTAAAATTCACCTGTTTAAGAGAAATAGCATTTATTTCAGTGGAATTGAAGTGATAAGTGCGAAACTATAAATTAGTAACCTCAATACAGATTATTTTGATGCAGACGTACTTATGAATTGGTCACCAATGAGGAGTCGATGTAGCTGTTTAGTTCTAAGTGCTTAATGTTGATAGAAGTGTGCTAGCTTACTCTTAATATCTAATGCCCGAATACAGCCTACCATAGCATCATGTCATTTAGCTCAGTGGCCAGATGGCAGGAGTTGATTGATAGATTTTGGTTAGTGCTAGATACCAAGGTCTGAATAGCTGGTGACAGAATCGTGTATCTCATACAATTAGTTCTACAGGAAGTCACTTGTGACTTGAATGGTAATTCCTTGGTCTTGGTTCATTGTGTCCTGTAAGCTGGGTCGCTAAATCGTAGAGCTTTCACCGTCTTCCTAAACAACATCATCAGCACTAACTTTAGTACGAAGTGATATGTCAGTATCTAGCCACGAGTGATCCAGTAGCTTGTCCTGACGAACTGGTTTGTGATTAGTTGTTTTCTTTGATTGTTGTATTACTGACTGCATAGGTTTTCTTCTTGGCTGTTCCTCTTTTTGACCTGAGGATGATGTCTTGATGTTCATCGCTCATTTCCAAGCAAGTAGATTACCATGAACATGAATTCAATTTTGACAATGTAGAAATCTCTGAGAGAGGAAACACAAGGAATATCGGAGAAGTCCTAGAAGCTAGGCATGCAGGTCAGTCAGCAATCAAATCAAATCTGTATAAACATAGACCCAATGTATCAGTGAATAAGAAGAATGATAAACAACAGAAAGGTGAGAGGTTGAGTAGATGAACAGGAAATAAGAAAATCTATGGAGTCAATGACACAGTAATCGAAGGAAACAACCAATCACAAACCAGTTCGTCAGGACAAGCCACTGAATCACTGATGGAGATTTACTGACAGCTCATTTCATATTGAACTTAGTGCTGATGATGTTGTCTGTAAAGATGATGAAATTCCCATGATTAAGCTATCCACCTCAAAGAACATAATACGACCAAGATCATCCACCTGAGCTACAAATATCCTCAACCACGTCAAAATCATATAAGAGTAATTCCATGAATTTTGCACTGAGTGATACAAGTTGAAATCACCAAGGAAACACCAGATTCATCATAGTTAGAAAGACGCCATGCCGATGACTGCCAAGTAATAAGCAGCTTATATTCATGATTTCCTGGCGATTTGACATCTGATACCAGAAGAGAGACAAATATGTTGACATTTAAGTTAGCTGGAACAAAATGTCTGTTAATTGAAATCCTCTGGTTCTGAATAGGGTTTTGAAGAAGATACATGCATGCAAATTATTGTTGGCAAATAACAAATGTACACAAGTGTGAACAATATTTGTTTCTCACTATAATAGTCTATGAATCCATCAAGTAAACGTTCTAAAATACTGTAAGCATAAACTTCGGGTTACTTTTAAAATGATACAACAAGTTAGAAGATGAAACTCTTAATAGATAAATAAACAATAGGGAGAAACTTTTATACTCATTTCACACCATTTATACAAAGCTTTTCTAATTTTATGGATTTTAACAATATACATTTAGTTTGACAGTAGTATGCATTATTTGATTTTGTTTATTCTCTCAACCTTCACTTAATTTAGTATATACTGATCGTAATCATGTTGGTAAATCTATAAATTACAAAAGTCTACTACAGATTATCTCAAGTATTTTATCTATACTGGTTAAATATTTTTAAATCAGATCAATGACATCTATCTTACTTCCCTCAAACAACACGTCTTGTAACTTTCGGGGTCAGACATTTCACACTGGTAAATTTCTTTGTCTCTGACAGAAGACTGATTGTATCACAGAGAGTATACACCGAAATTCAGGTGGATGAAAAAGTTATCCTAGGCAATATGATAATACAAATTTGGGAACTGTGGTAGATTGTACTTCCATCGTAGCTCTCTCTCTTTAATGTATCATACAGAGTAACAATACTACTTACTGAAGACGTTTCGACTAAAATTTATTCCTGATAAGCCTATCATGGTGAGTGATTTGATTCTTATCACATGGTATATTGAACATACGGTAATTTGTATATCCAGCTTCTCTTTGAGAAAGTCGTGTGCGTTTGTTGACAAGTCTTCTGATAGTAAGACTGTAAATTTCAAGTATATGATGATATAATGATATATGTTTTTAAGCAATAAAGTCAGCTAGAAATGTCATAAGTAAACAATACTGTTTCATTGTGTGACATACATAAAAAAGAACTAAAATGGAGTTATTCCGGCTACTTTTCACCAGCAGCGACTACTAATCATAAAACCCCTTTACATCTTTTTGCTTAAAATAGACATAAGGCAAACATTTCTTGTGATCAGCGACTATCCAGTCTCTACTTAAGCACAAATTACAGTTCATTTTGGCATATTGCTTCATTTTGATGCGAGATAGTGGCTAACGTTTCGTCCTACTTGGAACTCATCAATCAGATGTACCTGCCTCTCAGAAGGTGATCTTGTCCTCACAAGGACTCGAACCAGAGACCGATTGTTATAAACGACACAGCACTATCCAGTATGTCACCGAGTCATGACAACCACTTCTTGTGCTACGAGTATAGTTTTTATTTTGCAACTAGTATTATCCCCAAGTTGACTAGACAAAATTGATCGGTCTCCATTGGCATATGAGCTTCTGCGCAGATAACTCGATATTGCCTGTGTTTCTCTTTTATAATAATGATGGATAGTGGCTAGCTGGGAATCCAGGATGCTCGGTGATCAAGTAGATAACTCTTTAGTGTTTGAAGCCATCAGTTCTGGGTTCGAGTCCTTGTGGGAACAACATCGCTCACTAGGAGGTGGGTACATACAATTCAGTCCAGTTAACGACGGGATAGTACAACCACCAACATAATGTTTTATTGCTAATAAATCATTTTGCTATGTACGAAGGAGTCATTAAGAATCGATCAACGGCTGAAGTTTTAACAGGCAGGTGCGAGATTCTCCATTAAGCACTGGTTATAAGTTATGAGGCCTAACATTGTTTAGGTGTTTAAATAATTGACAAAGATTCGCAAAATATGCGAATTTGCTGTCTAAATTTGATAGATTTGTAGATTTTAACTGATCTTAAGTAACAAAGAATATCACTGGTCAAACTCCAGTTGGCAACACATATCTAACATTACATTTGTTTGGCCGCATAAATGACTTCTGGTTTTCGTGGGAATAAGTTTGAAATGTCATGCACTAACCTCACAGGAACTTCACACTGAATACATATGTTGAATTTCACTGTAATTCATCATCAACTGATGAACATTGATATCGCGCTGATTATCATTTCAACAGTACATGTGAATTGTGAAATGAACGTATTTGTACATTTTCCGTGGAAAACGTCCTACACAAATGCCAAATATTTAGCATATGACGATCTAGAAATGCGATGATAAAAAGGATTTGAATCTTTTAGTTCCACTGATGTCTTTCTTGTATCTTGATGTGCTGACGTTAGCTGTAGCAGTGTGGACCGTTATGCAATAATGCCACATCGAATACTGATAATGACTTAGTGATGCAAAGGGATACTGAAATGAGTTAATCACTAACTTTTGAGTATTTAATTAAACCATACAGATACGTAAAATCAATTACCACCGAACACTCTCGCCATTAAGGTGCAATGGAGCAGAAGTTTCTAATACTGACTATCCTATTGGATTCCAGTTCATCGAATCGATATTTTTTAGACTGTTTACCTTTCTTTAAGTACCACTAAATAGCTTTACTCAGTAGAATAATAATTGCTTCATGACTAAACCAAGAAACTTGATGTAAACAATATCATCTTCTAAATTAAAAAACGAAAAATGAAAAGGTATATCTGCATCTTTTCAGTAAATATGCAGAGATTTCATTAATGAGGAATTGTTTATTTCATCATACACACAAAGGGAAGAAAAGGTAAATTGATATAGTGATTGGAAACTAGATCAGGTTGAACCTAAAGTAATTGGCTAGCTAGTGACTATCGGATTATTTTTCTGCACTAGTTTGATTGTTTTGTAAAACAGCTTTGAATGATGCATATTTTGTGCTGTTAACAATTTTGTATACAAATAAGCTTTTTATTACTTAAAAAGCAATAAGTATTTACTAGCAAGTTGTTCTGTCTTTTAATATCAGTTCAGTGGGGGGGATTGCATCAATAAGTCGATTTTCATGCTCAACAATAACTTCATCATGATGTCGTTTCAATCACTCTTGGAAATCAATCAACAGGAAATTCTGACAATTCACTTGGTTGCACTATAACATCAATAGTTTATTTGTGACTACTCATTTAGAAAACCACATGGAACATTTAAAGCTAACCTAGAAATATAAATTATTATCAAACAAACTATTTGGCATTTTGTATATTTCAGATGAGAAGGGATTTAAAATCATTCAAAAAACAAGCCCAGTTATCGAAGCTGAAAAAGAATTTGTTGAAAAAAGTCAAAACAATGACAGAATAAATGAACATATTACGACAACTGGAGCTTATGAAACATTGGAGCACATTGAAAAAATTGATTTAGTAGACACAAATTCACAGGCATCGCAACCGAGTGCATACAGTTTTCCTGATAAAAAGGAAGAAACTGATGCCGAAGAAAGTCTGACACCAACTAAACTGGGTGTACGTGAAGCAAGAAGGGATCAAGATGGTGATAGACCACAGGTGGTTGATAAAAATTACCGTAACCTTGAAAGAAAATCACCTTTGACAGCAGTAGCCTTTAAAGAGAACAAAACAAGAAATATAGGTTCATCTTCACACAATCCTAAAATAATTTTAATTGCCACAACTCACTTTATTTACATTCTTACATTTTTATAATTTGAGATAATCGATTGAAGTGTTTATTATCTTCGGAATGAAGCAATACATTTTTGTGTACGAACAGATATACTAACTATAATGTTCGCTTTAACATTTCCATTTTGACATTCGACGGTCAACATCGTTACTTCTGGACAAGAGCATAACTTCTGCGAATACTTCACATCATATTTCAAGAAGTCAAGTGTGAATCTCCCTGATGTCTTTTTTAATGTGCTTCAGTTTATACCATTAACTCTGTTTATAATGATTCAGAAGTTTAATTGAAGGTCGATTTATTTACTTATTTAATTGTGACATATTCATCATTTTTTTAATAGTACCGAAATGATAATTATTAGTATTGCGATATCAAAGTTTTATCATAATGGCACAATAAATTTGATTCGTGATGATTAATTAACTGTTTACCATCTATTTACTGCTTTCTAAAAATCCTTATCGAACAGTCGGAAGGTAAGATAATTCGAAAACCATGGAATCATTCACCTTATTGACACTGATTTGTTTCTTCTTTTCGCTTGTTTTTCAACCCGCATAAATATCTTACTGCTGTGAATATAGTTTTGGTGTACCTTTTTGTCAAGATGAAAATTTTAACACAGAACATTGTCATGTATCCTACTTTTCTTGTTTTGTTTCGTTGTTTCTTGCAACAATGTGCCTATTTCATGTTTTGTTCAACAATGATGGGAATTTTTTATCCTAACTATGATGAAAGAACCACAGTGTTATGTTACTATCGAATGAATAATTTTAGGAAGCTAAAGTGATGCCTGTAAATGATTTTTTTTATAAAAATTAAGGCTATTGGTCTCTACTTTGAACGATACTTCATAAACTTCGCATGTATTCTGAAGTTCCATATTTGCTTACATGAAGATCTAGAACGCTACTAGTTTGAACAGTTATGTGAGCAATCATTTTAGTTGCACTAAGTTAAAATGAAAATTATCTGTCAGCAAAATGAACTCTATCAAGAATAAATCACGAAAGGTTTTAACTGCTACTTCGCTCAAGTGATGTTATTCACAGGTTCATTTTAAAAGTACACCTTTAGCTCTATTCTCTTATTTCATCACTCTACGAATGAATCTTTATCATAAAGCTTTGCTTAGTATCAGCTACTTTTAACTGTAAGCAAAACTCACTTTTTTCTGACTTCCTAGCCTAACTTTGCTTATGCCTATTCTGAGAGTTTACCACTAAAATTATGTATATGACAGGCAGTTCTTCATAAAAAGCTCTTTTGTCTCTTGAAGCTTGTTCAGCACTTTTCTGTGTACACAAATTATTTGCCGAGTGATAGCCGATGTAAACGTCAAATCTTAAGTTCTTGGCAACAAGCAACTCCTATCTATCAAGTTTATAATGCAGTCACTAAGCTAAGTCAAGCAACAAAGTGGAGCATCTAGCCTTCACTTACTTCATTGTGAACTATAGCCCCTAAATTATATAAACACTCACTCCGTAGATTATACATTGGATCTAATATTGTAGTCATGTAAGTTACTTACAGTTTACAACTTGAGTTTAGTTTAGTGAGTGACCCTTTCCGTTGGAATGAAAGGTTAAATACAAGGCAAGGGTGACATTTAAGGTGTATGGGAAGGATAGAACAAACATTTGAAATAGGTCTGGGGAAGATGATAGCTGATAACTGATTTGAGGAATGTGTATCTCTCTATATACTTTCCATACTAAAATTGCTTTAGCAACTGACGACAGTTCATAAGATGATACTAACTTGTATTATAAGTTTATGCAAGAAACTTATCGTTGTCTACTTGACTGAATCAGCTGATATGATCAGTCTCTATTTACCTATGCATATCTCGAACTCCTGCCTTAATATTTTCTCCGCTTTCATGCAGATGTTATTTCACTGGTAGAAAAAAATAAGTCAGTTCATCGCACCGCCTACATCCTATTCCAGAAATTAACACACTCAACATCTACAAGTCACAAGTATGCAGAAGTAACAAACAATAAATGCTGCACAACAGGTAACCCTTGTGATTCAGTAGCTTTATGAGTGGCACTCTGATATTTGAGGCTATGAGAGATGATTTCCATTTTTAATGAGTACCCTATTATTTTCTGAGACTCTAGAACATGGATGTGACGATGTGTAGGTGGGGCGAAATGTATATTTCGAATTCAATGTTAGACTTAACCAGAAGAATAACGGCTATGCGTATCATGCTTTGTCATTTGTTACTCAGCTTTCATTAAAATTCACATTCGGAAAGGAATTCATGTAACTTTACTAAACATTTTGTTTGTTTTTATTAAGTTAGTTACTGCAAACGCTGTTTACCGTTTGTGATTAACAACATCTAGGTGGATTTCAGTTTCACTACATCACACCGTAAATACTAAATTAATTTAGAAAGAACTGGTGACTCTAAACATTTTTGTCTTGTTAGTCTGCTTAGATAATGTACACTGGATTGAAGATTGATGCATCGAATCCGTAAATGAAGAACTGTATAACTGCTGAGCATTTCGATGTAAACAGATAAATGAGTAAGCATATCACCAAGAAAACTGAAATGTAACAAAGGTGACTTAGACTTTCTGAAACTTTAATGAGGTGCATGTAATCTTATGCTGCAGTTGTACAATTTACAATATGCGATTAAATCACAGAAGTACTACTTATGAACTGTAGCTGTGGTGAAATGAAGTAGTATCTTTTCATCAAGGTCTGCTTTCATGAAGCATTAGCTTAGTGCTTCACCCCAGTATCTAATACTCATGTCAATTCTGCTTGACTTTTGTATTCATTTGTTAATGTGTCAGTTTATTCACTGCAATCCAATGCAACATATTCGACCTACTCTAAACTTAAAACTGTGGTATACAAGAACATAACGTGAGTGAAATAGGAACCCGAGAGTATTTCAAACGACTTCTGTGATCTGTCAGCAACCTGATAAAATGTTTCCTTATTTCTTCTAAAAATTCCTTACTACCCTTTATATTGATCCACTTCTCAAGATTAATGCATATGTTTCTACATAACTGTTTTCACATCAAACAGTAATCACTAAATGTATTTTTAAAATGTTCCAGTTCATTTTATTGTTGAAACTATTTGTCTTAATAAATTTCGTCTCATATATTTTGTTGCTGGTATACAAACAACAGGAATTATTAAGTAGTTGGCTTGTAGTGTACTTCCTGGCACCAAAATATAACTAGGGCTAAAATAAATAGTTTAAATTAAATTAACTAAATAAATCTCTAGCTTGCCTCCAGATGCTTAGGGTGCTTTAAGTTTTGTTTTAACGAGCATGCATCCGAGCAGGCTTGGACGCCAGTTTTGCGCTCCATTGTGCTGATTACCATGCATGTACTCCGAGTCCCTAGTTCAGCCTTACAAGCCAGATAAGTCGATTAAACTTTTCCCCCATTCATTATTATTACATTTACTTTAAATAAATAGCTCCTTCAAATACATTGCGTATCAGTTCTTTTGATTTGTGTTTTGTTATCGGTACTTACACGTTAGGTAAAGTACTAGTTAGGCAGGCACTAGAGCACATCAAATAAGTAGGGTTGATCAAACATTACAGAATTGTAACACGCACCCCTACAAATTGGTGAGCCCGAGTATCACTTCTTACTTTGTCTAGTACCTTTGTTTTCTTGCGTTGATTTATCTGGCCTATTTTCCCGTTTTTGGCACTGTCTTGCGTTTTTTTATTGCGCTCCCCATTGGTTATTTTTGCATTGCAATTTTTTTAATTATTATCATCATCGTGTCTCTTTAATTCCCTTATCAATGGCGGATAACAACTCGACTGCGCAGATGGCCGTAACCCTCCAGCTTCCCACCTTCTGGGCCCACAGACCATCTGCATGGTTCTCCCATGTGGGAGCTCAGTTTGCCTTGAGACGCATTCAATTACAAGAAACTAAGTCCAACTTAGTCATCGTCAGCTTACCGGAAAATGTGATCGAAGACGTCTCAGGTGTGCTAGATGACGCAGCACCAAGTCTTTACGATCGCCTCAAAACCGCCCTCATCAAACGTGTTGCACTTACTGACCAGCAGAAAGTGCAAGAGCTTTTCAGGGATGTGCACCTGGGTGATCGTTAGCTGACGCAACTGCTTCGTCAGATGAAGCAGCTGATTGCTGACTTCAACATTGATGAAGCGTTTCTCAAGCAACTGTGGTTACAGAGGTTACCACAGTCGGTTCAAGGGATCCTCGCACCCTTCCATAAGTATCCCTTAATAGAGCTGGCGGAAGCGGCTGACAGAGCTGTGGATGCTACGAAGCCCAACACTAGTACCTCAGCTGCACTGTCCACTGCCACGGATTCGTCAAAAAACCCACATCCTCCCTCGGCTGGTAGGCCAACAAGTTTCGATGTTATAGCTCACATCTCGAAATTGTGCGAGGAGTTGTGCAGCATCAGGAACGAAATGCGGTCTGGTAGTTCTTCCAAAGGTCACACGTTTAGCTCGCGCAACAGGTCTGCCTCCCGTACCGGTAGCAGGTGTTCCAAATCGCGACAATCCCAACCCAACCCAACCCAACGTGTGAGCCAGCACGTGACGGCGACTAACGTCGCTGGCGAGCCACTTCCATGTCGCCTCTTCTTCGTCACTGATCGACATTCTGGGATACGCTTCCTAGTTGACACTGGGGCAGAAGCTAGCGTCATCCCACCTACGAAGGAAGAGCGTCTGCGGCCAATGTCTCTGCAACTTCGTGCCGCCAACGGTTCGCCCATCACAACCTATGGTCGGAGATTCCTCGATCTCAACCTTGGATTGCGTCGTCCCTTTCGTTGGGTTTTCATAGTGGCAGATGTGACCACCGGCATTATTGGTATGGATCTCTTGCAGCACTATCAGCTGCTGGTAGATGCTGGCAAGCATAAGTTGATAGATTCTACCACAACACTCTCTGTTTCCGGTATAGTCACAAAGACGCCGCCCCTCAGTCCCGTGTACTGCACGACGGACGCTTCTAGTCCCT